GCACTGTTGCCTTGCAGCAAGAAGGTCCAGGGTTTGATTCCTAGCCTCGGGTCGTTCAGGATTTTGCACCTTCTCTGCATGCACTCTCTCTGGCTTCCTTCTACAGTCCAAAAACCTGATTGGCATCTCTAAGTTGGCTTTAGCAGTGAGTGTGTGTGTGGCGGTATGCCTAGTGTTTCCCTTTATTAATTTCAAAGGAGTAATTGATACACATCTGTATAAAAATCACATTAAAAAGAATAAAACAAACAAATCTGACCTAAAACTGTTTCATTTGCAGGTAATAAAACTGTAAATTGTAAAATAAATTATTATATGAAAATAAAATATTTCTTTACATGGAATTAAGATTTAAACATAAATAAAATAGATTAAAAAGGAAAACAAAAAAAGGAATAAACTCTACCTAAATGATAAAGTATTAAAAATAACTTTTTAAAAGCAATTAAATTTAGCAGGATAAAAAAAAAATGCATCAAACTATACGATCAAGGCCCATCTTAAAGTTTTGGTTAAAGGTTTTAAAGGTTATGGACAATAAGAAGTGTTTTGTAATTTATTTTTAGATTTATTGTTCCTTGATCTGGAGTCAAAGTGAAACAATTCAACTTCAGCAGCAAACATTTTAAGCTTCATCTTGTCTCTACAGATGTTTTACATTACTTATTTGCACATTTTTCTTAATTCATTTAATTTATTCTTCATAGTTAAACATTTTTCAATAGTGTAATCCAGCTATGCCTCTCCACTGATCCTTTATGTGGATCCTCTTTCAGATTCATCTCCCTGATGGAAAAATAAGGGAAAGTCTTGGGATTCAGAGAGGTAGAAATATGTTTGTGTTTGTGAGAGAGTCCCAGGTCCCTGCTCTAATAACACAGAGTTTCCCAGTGAGCGGTGGGGCAGCTGCCTTGGAACACCGCAGGGATCTACGGATCAAATTCACCCACACACACTGAGCCGAGGGATGCACGGATCAGAGGGTACACACTGCAACTCCACGCACACCTAAACCTTATTTCCCAGTTCAGACACATCCACTCTTTTCATAATTCAGTTAGAGAGAGGGGCTCTGAGAGTCAGACAGAGCTGGGATTATTTAAACGCAGCTCATTTCATAAAAACATCAGGCATCGAACCAGTTTCTGATCCAAAAAGCACCAATCGGATGGAAACAGAACCTAAACTGAAGCTTTTGGAATCAAAACTCTAGAATCCGTGTGCATTTTTGTTCTGAATTATTTCAAATTTCCTGTTTTCTTAGTATCATGACAGGTTTGATTAACTTCGACCTCTTGGGGACATCTGAATCTTTCCTGATGAGACATACAAGTGAAACTGTAAAACATCAGAGAACAGAAAGAGGTAAATCCTGATGAATAAGTGTATCTCCATCCTGGTATATATTTGATCATCTGGCCAAAGGTGTTGTCCCGCAGCTTACAGAAGAAAAAAAAAAAAACAGGAGAGCAAAGGGGATGAATCAGAGAGAAGCTGCATCATAGCACCTCCTGGAGGCCTAGTGATGAAGTGAAGTTTAGCGCTGTATGGAATGTGACAAATTGACTACAGAGCATCTTGTGAATAAATGCATCTAAAAAAATAAACACATTTACAGATTTTTAAATTCCAGATATTATTTTTCAGATTCCATGTTATATGTTAAAGTATGACCATGACCCATGATACCCCGCAAATCTCCCTGAAAAATATTGAAGAAGACCAAATATAAAACATTTATTTAGTTTTTTTTAATAGGCATGTAAAATGAAAAAATAAGAGTACAAGCTATTTAAGAATAAATAGATATAAATCTTTGAACTTGAAAGATGATCTCAATTTTGTTTTTGTATACAACTAAGAAAAGCCTTGGTGATGCCCAACACTTTTTCTATAATATCTTTAGCTTCCCTGATTTTCAGCTTGCTGTTTACTTTGCTCCTGAATCTAAAGAACTAAAATAAAAAGCTGTTGTTGGAGTCCTGATATCTGATACTGAAATAAACAAAGAGAAGCGAGCAGAACTGAAGCTGAACCGACTGTGAAACTGCAGAGAGAGAGATCCAGGAGGACGTCAGTGATCAGGGCCACAGCATCTCTTATTTACCCACACACACATACAGAAAAAAACATCTCTTATTTACCAGCTTACGTCTGCACTATTTATGGGACGCTGGGGAGAGGCACAGAAGAGAGGAAGAGAGGAGAGGGGCTAAAATATGCATAGGGGCTGGATCTACAGGGACAGCAGGGGGGAGTCAGACAGGAAGAGGGAGGAAGTGAAAACTGTGGCAGGAGCCATGATGGAGAGAGCAGGAGAAGCGGGCATGTAAGTGGGGCTGAAGGAGAGAAACCAGGAGGGAGGAAGGGATGATTCAGTGCTGCCTCTCGCCTGCAAGCACCCTCAGGTGGCACGCTGTTTGTGAGCCGGACATCATACGGCCCTTCCGAGGCCCCGAAAGAGGCCAAAGCTTTTTCTTGCTGGCCAAGCCGCCTTCCTCCATCCATTCATCCCTACCTCATTAAAACACACACAAATTACCCCATTCCACATTCTCTGGCAGATGTGCAGAAGCACAGCAACAGCTCGCACTCACGTTAACCTCCACGGTGGAGGCTCTCCATCTCCCCCGGTCGGCCTCTCCGTCTAGCCCACTTAGAGCGCCCTCCCATGAGGCGATGAAGTGTAACGGGTCGGACTCAGGCTGAAAGTTCGCATCCGATCACTCGCACATGTTTGGGCAAATACCAGAGAGTAACAAGATGGATGCTGGGAGAGTGCTGCAGTCAAGCTGAAGCACAGGAGGCCAACAAGATGCAATGAAAACAAAGGAATAAAAATAGATTCATCCAAAAGGTTTCTAATTGGAACAATGTGGGGACAATTATTATTATTATGAGTATTTTCGCAAAAGTCCTGAATCGATTGGATTTTGATTAATACAGTTCTAAATCGATTAATTTCGATTCGATCTGTTTTTACAATAGTGAAAGAGGTTCAACTGTGTTTCAAAATACTGATGTATTTTATTTTTTTCCTGTCACATTAAACACAAAGTGCAAACTTTTAAATCAGAAAGTTTAAACTCGAGATGTGACCAAAACTGTCTCATAAGTGCAAACTTGTTAGTGAAAAGTGAAAAAGTGAAGCCTTACTCAAGCAAGCAGACTTGACACAGACATGCATGAAATGGCAGACATGCATGAGCTGCATTATCTCCACTGCGAAACCATATTTGCAGTGTTGTCTGTAACAACTACAGGGTGTTTGCTAGTCAGCCGCAATTTATTAATGTCTTCAGTCAACCTATTGGCTATATTTGCAGCTGTCTGGCTTGAAGTCATCTTCAGTGCATCTTTCCTGCACATTTGAATGTGAACGTCACGTGCGTCACAATAAAACGAATCAATCTCCTTCGCTAGACATCGATTTTGCAAAAATGTAAAGGAATCGATTCAAAATCGATGAAATCGATTTTTTTACCCAGCCCTAATTGTGAGTATAAATAACCCTTGATGGGTATATAAATTATATAGACATATGTATCCAAAAGCTTGTTTTGACAACTTCCTGGTCCTATAAAACCTGACAAGCTGCAAGCAGGTGCTGCTGATTAACTAACTGCCATCAGTGTGAGGATCAGTTGAGTTAGCCTTTCTGAAGCATTCAGGAGACTGTTTATATAGTTTTCTCTGTAAACAGCATTTTCTCTTTAAAAGGGATATTGGCCATAAATAACAAAGATCTGACTCCATGGGGGTGGAGGGCTGGTGATTTGGGATAGTTTTCTAAAAGAAAGAATTAATAGATTTGAACCATGACCTATGTGTACATTGTAACCTAGAAACCAACATGAGTTCATCCAATCATGGCTGCAATGGTCCAGTCAAAGTCCAGACCTCATAACGACCTAGCAGAAAACAAAAGTGTTCAGACCGCAATGAAGTGAAGGTCTTTTTTTATTTTTGTCCTCCTTTTCTTTACTTTTTGGTTTAAAAATAGTTTAGTATTAGTTAGTTGATGATTTTATCACTTTAAGAAGTACCAATTATGAGAAACTGTACCTGGAGACAGATTCATTTGGATAAAGAGTTTAATAAAAATTAAATAACAAAATAGCTGAATTATTCGATTTGAGACATTTTAAGCATTTTTTTGGCATGATCACATGGCACAGGGGAGGATGATCTTGAAGACATTAAACCTCTGACAGTCGATTCCTGATTTTCCTGAGGACCGGGATGGCAGGAGAGAACCGTGATGGAGGATAACTGGAGTGTGTGTGCGTGTCTGTGTGGACATTGACCGACAGGGTCCAGTGGTCACCCTGCTGTTAAATGGACTGGCCGGCCATATGCCCACCACCTCTGGCACTATATCATCACCACTTTATGTGCTTGACTGAGTGGCTTTCTCTGCAGGAGGCAGGTGAGCTTAGCTGGTCTTCTGAGGACCAAATCATAACTAAAGCTGTTGTTTATTACTATATTAGAGTGATTCCATACTTACATCTCCCTGCCAATATAAACCATGTGTACCAGCAGAGCTGTGCTCAAGCTAAATCTTATAGAGCACACAAACTAAAAAAAAAAAAAAAAAAAAAAACTGAAAAAGTTGGATTTTAATCACCATTGAGTGCAGTGTTATCATAGACTATGTTGACACCAGTGCCCGATGATTGACTTGAAAACCAAACAATCTGCAGCTAGATGAGAGGAAGGTTAAGACCAACGCTAAGCTGGCTGCAGCTGGCTATGGACCAACTCCAGTGTGACTTATATCTACTTATAGATCTGATTCAAAATGAGCTGAATCCTGCCAGAACCCCACCAAGACCTCATGAGGAGAGACGGAGAGAGAGGCATGGAAAGTTGGGGAGAAAATGAGGAATAATTACAGAAGAGGCATGAAGTTTTATCTGGATAAGATTCTTCATCCATGGAGTGTCCTTGGTCAGACAGTCCTGTTACTGCACACATTCACAGATGAGTGAGCCTACCTGGAGCTCTGTCTGGAAGAAGAACTTCTGTGGACACTGGGAACAGTCATAGATCTTGTCCTCCTGACCATGCACGGCAAAGATGTGCTGCTGCAGCTTGTTGGCCTGCACAAACACTGCAAGGAGGACAGACAGAGCGAAGCGTTGCAGCATTAATGGGATGGAGTCTTTGCAAACAGGGAAAACAAAATTCATGCCTGGATAAAAAAAAAAAAAAAAAACTGGAGAAAAAGAGAACTTTATCTATGTGAAACAGAGGGATTCTTTCAATTTTTCAAAATAAAAATTCTAGGACTGTGAATCTGGATTCAAGCAATGCAGAGAGTGACTTCTCTAAACATCAGTTATCTAAACCGGAGAAGGAACTGAGGGCTGATGAGGAAGCAGCTCGCTGGATTAAGAGAAATCAACTGTCACCAGAACATGTGACATTTATCAATTAATCATCTCCTTATTTTGTCTTTTAACTTAAGCTTCAGTGTTGTTTTGTATTCCCCCCCCCCCTTTTGTTACAGTAAACTTTTGGTTTCCACTCCGAGACTGCTGAATTATTAAGCATTCCCACAGGAGCTGAGCCTATTTTACTAATTCATGAGCCACCAAGGAATACAGTTAAAGTTTAAAGTGTTGCTGCACCTGGGGGGTGGGGGGGGGCACAAAGCACAAGACAAACTCAACAGCCATGAGGCGGGTGGTTGTGGGGGGTTGATAGAGTAAAGAAAAGTGCTGAATGTGAGAACCTAATTTGGTCATTTATTTCCTCTCTCCTGTGGATTAAAAACATTTCATGTTTGTAAACATGCAGATATTACAGCCTGCTGCAACTATACACATATAGTTATACACATATATCACAGCTTTAAAGCTCCCATAAATGATCCACTGTGTTGAACTGAGCCGATAGGTTTTGAAAATGTTCAAGTTAGCAAGGGTAAACTTGCTTTAAGTGTCTCAAAATATCTAAGCTTCATTTGATTAGCGCTGATTTTAAATTTGAAATACTTCCAATGGTCAAACACTAATCAATGGTTACACTAATCATATGTTAAAAACAGTATATATTGAAAATTTATGTCTCTCATAGCAGACAAAAAAAAAATAAACTAAAACTATAATCAACATGCCAAAAAAGTAGTAAACCTCTCTTTTTCACTAAAAGAAAAAAGCTTTCCCTCCATCTAAAGTTTAATTTATTGACTCACAGGGACAGAAGACAGCTGTCCTCCACACTTTTCAGATTTTCCTTCATAAAAGCCTTTGAGTTTTTCAGAGACCCTTTTTTTTTTCTTTAAACTATCACAAACCAAGGTCAGAATTTTTATACACAAAAAGTTTCCTGTTTCTATAAACTTCATATCAGACTGAAGTCTCACTAAGTTTATTCAGCTTTTATCTTTCTGTTTGTCATATGTGTGTCCTTGAACATGTTAGCGTGCGTCTTACCTGTAAAACAGACGGGGCACTTGAAGGTTCCTCCCATGCCTTCGAAGCTGTGCTCTATCAGGTGGCAGAGCAGCTTGGCAGGTGAGTCGAACATCTGGTTACACAGCTTGCACTCGTGATTGATGCCCTCCTCTGCAAATAGGAGACAGACACGCATGCGTAGGTTAGATTAGGCAACACGGAAATTTGGAAAGTGTGATTTAATTTCAGGATATCAACACAAAACTAAGAACAGCTGTTTGATGTATACAAAAAACAAGTAGCAACAAAGGCACTCATTGAAAATAAAATCTGCATTAAAAACTCATTTTATACTCCTCCTTAGGTTGTGTTTCTTATAAATATAGACAAACCAATTTTTGGGTTGTGTAGAAGAAAGTTATGCTTTTATATTAATTTACTTGTTTTGATATAAAATCAGATTGTTTGGCTTAACAGTGTTGTTGCACATCCTCCTTTAGAAACACAGAACTCAAATGATCAGATTTAACATGAGGTTATCATTAGATTTAATCCGTGATGCTTTACAATGCCACTGCACTATAACCTGGTGTAATAACAGTGCAATAACTGTGTAATAACTATTCAATACCCTGCACATTAATCCTATACTGCACAGTTTTTTGTTTTTTTTTTACCTGCCACCACTTTACCGTACATAAGATACCTTACATCCTTAGTGTACATTTTAATTAATTAAATCAAGCAAAAATCAGGTATAGTATGGTAGGCTAATGTAGACTAGACAAGGTAAGCTAATGCAGTGAGCTAGTAAACAGACTCAAATGGGGAAGATCAAATCAAGCGAGGGAAAAACTAATCAGCTGCTACTGGCGATGCCTAAAACCAGACCTAAAACCAAAGGTGATTGTGCCTTTATGGCAGTGGCACAGAGACTCTGGAATAACTTGCCTTGGCATATTACATCAGCAGGCTCCTTTGAGGTTTTTAAATCCTCTTTAAAATCACATTTCTTCTCCCTGGCTTTTAATCATGTGTAAGTGGACATTTGGCAAAATTTTATTTTAAATGTTATTTTATTCTAAAATGTATTTCAATTGAAACATTTATCCTATTCTATTTTTATGTGTTTATGTATTTTAGCCTTCAGTTTTTATCTTATGTTCATTAACTGTGATTCCTGTACAGCACTTTGGCCAACCCCGGTTGTTTTAAATGTGCTTTATTAATAAGTTTATAAGTAAATTATAAATAAAGTTTGAGTTGAGCTGAAAAACTAATGTTTTCAAAGATGAGGTTGGCTAAATTAAACCTGAGTTATGCTGTTGTAAATTAATGTAAAAATAGATAAATAAGATTAGATGTGTTAAATTAAACTAAACTTAGGTCATGTTAAATAGGCTTATTCAACCCAACCAATGATTCTAAAGAATCATATGAATCTAAAGTAAGAAAAAATATGTTAAGATTGGCTAAGCTAAGCAGATCAGGCTACATTAAAACAATCTTTATCCCTCATCTCTTCTTTACTGCTTTTTGAATGCTGTGCACAAGCTGTTAAGATAAAAGCATTTAAGCGATGACGTACTTGTTATTATTAGTCTTTTATTATATTGTATTTCATACATTTTCAAAATATCAAACTTGAAGCTGACTATTTATGAAGATTTCTGTGTGTAGAAAATAGTGTCACAGATTACATTTAGTGGCTTGTTTTGAGTTGTTTTGAGTTCAGTGGTCAAACAATGGGCGCTGATCTAAAAAATGGTTTGGTACTGAACTGACAGCAGTTAACAAAACAGTCAAAGCCTGAAGAAGGACATCTTGAAAATGTATTCATTTCCTATTTGGAAGCTTATAAAGGAAATTAAATATAAAAACATTCACACTTTTACAACTAATATTCAGGTAATAATGAGATGGGATCCTTGCTAGTGTGCAGAACAAATATTCTTAGCTGTGTTTTTCTGTTTGTATCTATTTTCAGATGGTGTGAGTGACATCACTGCCCCCATGGTGAAAGGCCAGATGAAGGTGGGCGTCGTAAACACAAACACACACGTGCACCCCTTGGTGATCGAGTCCCCTGCCTGTTGTCCTTATCACCAGTGTACCAAACAGGTCCGATACCCCAGTCGCCCACGCACACAGCACGGGGCAACACACACATACACACACGCCACAGGACCGAACTGCCGGGAGACATCAGATGGTGTCGTCTGCAGGCCAATCTGTGACCCCCGCCGAGCTGTGTACACATACACATATACAACAAGCCCTCTTTTCTAACACTTATCTCATGTCCTGTAAGTGCTAACACACACACACATTCTGCAAAACCTCCACTGCAGGGGATCGCAGGGTTAATAACGTCTTCAATCATGCATCCATGACACCCATACTGACTAATGCACACACGCACACCAAGATTTTTATCTCTCCTTGCCTCAAAGGCCATCACAAGGGTGCCCTAATCCCATCTCAATAGCTGTGTGTGTGCGGGTATGGGTGGATGATGTCCTCCATGGTCCCCATCTCCAAACAAGCTCCTTTTCACGCACACAGACACACAGAAACCTCAAAGGCTGCGAGGCTGTGAGGGGCGCCAGCGTGTCCGAGGCACACTGAGACAGATAGAGGTTCATTATCATTTACCAGGAGATTGAACCAGCAGGACAGAGTCACATGGAGTGACACATGCAGAGAGAGAGAGGGAGGAGGAGAGAGAAAGTGAGCAGGAAGGGTGTACAGCAGCAGCAGCTTATTCAATTGTTTCACATGTCTTGTTTGATAAAGTTTAAATCTTAACGTTTGTTAGAGCTTTGTTTAAGAAAAGAGACACAGGGATGAAACTATAAGAAGTGCCTACGCATCACTGATGTCTGTGTGTGAGGGTATATTAGGAGCAGGGCTGTAGAGAAAGCCTCTTTAAGTCCATGTCCGGTGTGTGTGTGTGTGTGTGTGTGTGTGTGTGTGTGTGTGTGCTGGGGTGGGACCCCCAGAAGTTGTCTCCAACTCTTCCACACTGTCAGGATCCAATAAGGGAGTCAAACATCAGCTACCTCTATATCCAACAATTGATAAATAGATCTTAATTGCTCTTTTCTAGTCATACAGACCATTTAATGTGCTCCAAACTAGAGCCATATTTACTGAACAGTACTCACACTCATCCTTACTCCAAAGCCCACGCTGGTAGAAAACCCACGTTCTACAGCTGAACCAGCATTCATAGTCAAACCTTCAATTTTCAGATTCAAGGACAACTATCCAGACCACTGGGCCACAGTCCTACTGCAAAGAGCAGGAAATGGAAAAGATATCTCATAGATGCATAACAAGGGATTGCCAGCACTTCATGGAGGTTGATGGGGTCAGACTTGGGGTTTTGCATGGGATCGGAGGGTTTTGTTTTGAGACCACCAGAAAATTGTAATCAGGGTTCCTGTTGTCTAAACCAGATCATGATGGGGATTTTTTTTTATTTCCAGAAAAGAAAAAAAAAAAAAAATAGAGAAATCTATGCCTTCTATTTGAACACATTGGGAATCATCCCACACTAAACCTAAAAGACTTTGGGTTCACAGTGAACCCTCGTTTATCGCGGGGGTTGCTTTCCAAAAAGAACCCGTGATAGGCAAAATCCGTGAAGTTATTATTTATTTATTTATTATTTATTCTTTATTTTTTTACAGTTGTTATACAATGAAATACAACATTGAAATCAAGGAACAAAATCTTTTTACAGGCCCAAACATTTGTTTAACAAATAAAAGTACAGTATAAACATTGTTAACTACTGTACTGTACTGTAAAATAATATAATTATAAATAAATAAGTAATAATTTTAATCTTAAATACGAACTGAAGGGTTAATATTGCGGGGATCAGCACCGCCCCGCCCCGGAGAAAATGAAAAATGATTATGAAAAAAATACAAATTATAGTAGGACAAATAGTGACTCACATGTACAGTACAGTACAGTATTTCACTGCTGTTCTGACGGAGCCGCTGCATCCTGACTCTGCTCTGTGGCGTTTTTTTCTTCTAAAGCCTGCGGTGCAGGTGTGTTTTTTGGAGAGAAAAACATAGTTATCAGTAGTTGTTGTCGGTCTTTTTTCTTCTGGGCCAAAAGATCCTTATAAACCGACATGCCACCATCGATTATGTTTGACAATAAAGTTTAACAATGTATGATGCAAATCCTTGAAGCAGCAAGACCGTGAAGAGTAAACCGCGTTAAAGCGAGGGTTCACTGTATTGGTCCGTCCTGTTCTTTTACATCAGGTTGTAAAATCTTTTTGTTGTAAATGTATAACAATATGCCTTATTTAAGTTCCACTGTTTTAGCTTATAAATATACATAAAATTAAATAAATTAGTTCAGTCACCAATAAGCTTATTGTATGAGTGAGCATATGTTGGGTTCAAAAATGTAGGTTTGTAAAAGAAGAACTTGAGTCTATACAGGAAAGAGATTCAAGCAACTTCTGCAGGAGTGGAAAGAAAGCCCAACCCAACTTCCAGCTTTTTTCCTCCGACTCCCCTCCTGCAGCCGTCTTTTATTAACCCCTCCTGCAGCCGTCTTTTATTAACAGAACATAACACATGGTTACAAAACAGTATTCTTCTGACAGAACAATTGATCAGTTCATAAAACAGGATGCTTCCACCAGAATCACAAGGCAGGGTGGTCTCCTGACTGAATCACAAGACAAAGTGAAGCATCTACTTGCTCAAATGTTTCATAAGCACACACAGACATTAATTTCATAATCATCATTGAATAAACCTAACAGCATAGAACCCAAAGTTCTATGTTGCTTGGTTTCATTATTTGTAGGTTCCCCGTGCAAAGAGACATGATTTATGTAATATCAGCTCGGAAAAGTAAACTTTATGAGATCATTTATGGTCAATCAATTAGTGTGAAAGAAAAAAATAGCAATGAAAGGAAAAAAAAAATCCAAACCAGAATGAATGTGAAAACCTCAGAGAGAACAGAGGAGAGAACAGTGAGGTGCAGCGAGATAATTGGGCTGTCCGGAACAAGGGCATGGAGAGAGGCCTCTAACGCCTCTGCATGTGTGTGTGTGTGTGTGTGTGTGTGTGGGTCCCATGAAAGACTCCTCTTTTCTGACAAATACATTGTTTTGATCAGTGTGTGTG